CCTGTGCTTCTTAAATTTGTATTCACTATAATACCATTATAATTAAAGAACAATGGCTCAGCTCGCAAACATTTTCTCAACAAATAATTCTCTATAACATGTAAAACTTACAACTTAGACCATGCAGTATTTATTTTTCATTCTACATATATGCTATTCATAAAGTAGTTTATTATCCATCAGTAAACCATATAAAAATCTCATAAATTACGCCAGTATCCATATTCATAAACCAGCTCGTCCATACTGACTATCCATGTCTCTCTCTATGGAAGTTTGCATCCAGTCTTCTCCTGCTGTTTCCTTTTTTTTCTTATGTCATCTGCTTATCTTTTTTCTGCTGTCCTACGTTTCTTTTGTCTGTCGTCTCTGCCATTTTCTTATATATATATATATATGGCTTATAAATTTTTCATTTCATTATATGGCGTCCTACAATCCAATCAATCACAATACTATTTAAATGTTAAATAGGCATTACTATATGTATTTATACCTGTACATATGATACAATTTTCTTTTGAATCATTACTATTTATATATTTTTTTCTTCTATAAATTATACTGATACTGTGCTTGTGAATCACTGTTCATCCCAACGGATACCAACATCTCACTTTCAATCTAAGTTACATTTGCAGTGATTAACTTGTGTTCACAAGATATTGAGGATTTTTCCTATTCTTTTTTTTTTTTTTACTTATATATTCCTGTCAGCTATACCGAAATCACCATGCACTGTCCTCTACAGTACAGTAGATTCACAGAAGATAATTGGAAGCTTGCCACAGTATAGAAGTGCTATCTTCATAAAACCGACTAACTTCAGTCTCATCCTCTTTGGTAACAAAGTTATATTACATAAAACAAACCACATGCTTATAAAGGCATAGCATAAAACACCAACAATCAGGAATTCTCATAAATATATAACGGTTGTATAGAATGGGAACGAATTTCCATGCATGGACAATTATGCAGCCTATTAATAACCACATTACCAAGGTCATCCGCAAAGTTTTCTAGAATATCCATATCTCTTTACTTTCCTAACAATCTTGTCTGTCTGTGTCTCATAATTTTCCTCTATAATAATTTTAAAGCTTATGTACTTTGAATATCTTAACATTGCCTCCCACAGAGACTATTTAATAATAACTAATTAATATACAGAAACTTCATTAGTCAAATCATAAAATATTTTATAATCCTGTTGTATACAAATACATAAAAGGTAAGTTACATAAACCATTTAAAAATACTACAGTTTACATGTATTCACTTAATTCTCTCCCATCTGTCCATACCTATATACAACAAAAGAGTGCTATGCACTCATTTATTTCCATTTTCCTGCCATAATATCTGAATTATAAAGTTTATTATCCAAATTTCACAATTCTAGACCACACTGTTTGACACAATCCATGTGCTAACTTCAAGATGAGTTCATTATTAACTCATGAATGCTTTAAATCAGTTATTATCTTCTGATATACATTTATTTATATTAATATTCAATAATATATTCTACTTGTTTTTTTTTTTTTATTATCTGTACTTCACAAATATATAATACAATTTGAATTTAAACAATGATTTCCTCCTTGGTTCACATTTCAATTCCAATACAGATTTAACAATGAATCTGTCCACTTTATAGTTTCTTAGTACAATCAATAATACAATCAAGAGCCAACAACATTCATTTCTGGAGTTACCAAAAGCTTTTCTTTAGGTTAAAAGACAACTTCATAAATTATAAAACTGAACCATGTAAGAATAGTCTTACCTGTAATCTATCACTTTCTAACATGTCACATATTAATGTGGTGCTTTTATAAATTCCAACACTCACTTACTAAACATTGTCTCAAATGACAAATGTACATAGCTACAGGTACCTGCACAGGACCTTTAAGTACCTTTATTGATCAACAATGGCTCCTAAGGGCCATTCTAATGAATTTCAAGAGAAGCATCAAAGAAGTGAACCAATTGCTCAAACATATAATACATTCAATCTGAGCATACATATAATATATAATTCCAGCATAATATGACACCTTTGAGGAATTGGATATCATTTCTAGGTGCTTTTTCAACACATTAATAATCAATATCATATGATTATGATAACCTTGAGGATCCTAATAGATCTCAATTGGATTTTATACTAAATAATGATTAAATAAGGAACTATTAATAATAATAGTTTACAGTTATTCGGTTTTTTAACATTGGAGTTTACTACCAATTGTTAGCCATTGCTATATGTATAAAATTCAAAACACAGCAAGAAATAAATATAATAATTGTACTATCAGAGTTAAGTACTATTTTCACTGAGAGCTTCACAGCTAATCATGAGATAGCATCTAAAGTGTCTTTAATATCTAATATTATGAAATATAACATGTTATGTTGCTGGTATCAGTTTATGTCAACAATATACTGTGTCTATCTATATTAATATGCTTTATTAATTCATTAATAAACACATATCAAAGTATCAACCAATATAATATATATACATATGACAGTGTCTCAATTTGGGAATATAACTAGAATATATTGATGGTGATCAAGACATATACCTGGACTATGCCTGTGATTGTCATTTATCTGAAATGGGATCATCAAACATATATGTGTACCTATGTAAAGAAATAATAACAATTCTTCAATTCAATTCACATAGAACAAACACACAAAACTGAACAGTAAGTTTGACTAATTTACTGTGAATTAGCAACAAACTCAGCAATACCATTACACTGTTTATATGTATAACATGGTATGTGTTCTCATGTTCAACCTGTATGTCAACATAGTTAATGTAACTATTTCTAATCTGTTGATATCCTATCATACTCTATCATAGGCATTAATAACATAACAATAGTTACTCTGTATTTTAAACTAATTAGATAGCCATGTTGTTCTATACTTAATGTATTCATAATACTTCTTTCTTAGGTATATTGTATACCTCAATATCGTGCTACATGTCATGTCATTACTCTCGCAAGTTATCGTACATACTAAATCTATTTAATATGTAGAAAGCAATTCATCCAAAAGTTCAATAAAACAAGTGAGAAACTGCGTTTAATGGTATGCGTGTTATTAACGTAAATTCACTTACCACAACTTTTAGTCAGAATTACCTTACAGTCGAATTTGTAGGCGGGATTGGTACCGCTTCTGAACTTTTAAAATCACTAGTATCCTGACGACTTCGGCGTAATGCCGGTTAGTCAGGGAGAGAAACACCTCAATGCCTACAATATTCACAATTATCTATCTCTTATTTGTTTTTATAATAATATCCACACTTTCGCTCCAAAACTCCCGCTGCCTCCGTTCAATCGTCCGTCATCCACTTGTCAATGTCACATAGATTACTTTGGCTCTGGCCTCTGACGTTCCGTTTCAGGTTACATGATTATTGACTTTACCATTTTTAATTAATGGTGCGTCACACGATAGTTAACAATATTATACATAGAAAATACCCAGACCGATATAAACAATCATACTCATGAATACAAATGTTTGTGCCGTGCGAGGAATCGAACCCGCGACCATCGGTCGTAAAGCGGTAGACTAGACCGCTAGACCACCGAGGTCGTCAAATTATATTATATTATGTGGTATCGTTGTCATCGATCTCATATTGTATTATTTTACTGATAAAGGCTATAACAGAATAGCAGAGAGGGTGGACTGCCCTCACTGAGTTATAGACCGTTTTGTCTCCTTCATTAGTTTTAAATTATATTATTGTATGGGCAACAATTATATTAGTTTTTGTTTGAGACAAATAAAGATTATTATTATTATTATATAACTCAAAGGTGACTGACATAGTGATCTATCAACGCACAGCTCAAACCACTGGACGGATCGGGCTGAAATTTGGCATGCAGGTAGATGTTATGACGTAGGCATCTGCTAAGAAAGGATTTTGATTAATTCTATCCCCAAGGGGATAAAATAGAGGATTAAAGTTTGTATGAAACTTTGTCAATCTTAAACCGATCGGGCTGAGACTTTGCATGCATAAAGCTACTATGACGTAGGCATCCCCTAAGAAAGGATTTTGAGAAATTCTACCCCCAAGGGGATAAAATAGAAGATGAAATTTTTTTAAGAGAGGGATTTTAGAAGGAATAAGGTAGGAAGTAGGTATTTTCAAAGTCGGCAAATTGGACAATTTTAATATTCTTAGTTTAACATTTAGAAATTTAGAAATCTTGGGGCAATTGTGTCATTATTTTTGAGTGTGGTTCTAGAAATGTTATTAAGGATTACGGTTCCAAAGTTTAAAAGAATAAAAATTAACCACAATAACAAAAAAAGGTTTTTTTTATACCACTTAGGTGGCAAACAAGCATACGACCCATCTGATGATAAACGGTTACAGTTTGACCTAGAAAAACCTAGAAATTTGGTTTTTCTTAAATGCCCATAGTTTTCAAATTGCATGGGATAATTTTTTTTTCTGATTTTTCTCATGATGGTTATAATCAATCCTGCCACCCTGTTTCGGCTTGATGTTGAGTTCTGGGACACCCTGTATAGTATGTATTAATATACGAAAAAAAATCTATGTACGTGTATCAGTTGTCTAGTACCCTTAACACAAGCTTTAGCTAGCTTAACTTGGGTCTAGATGGCGCTGTGTGATTTGTCCTGAGATTATTATTTACACTAAAATAACCGTCAAATTGTATTAGCATCAACTTTGTTAACATAAATTGAAAATTATATGTAATCTGATAAGATACATAATTTTATACATAAATAATTAATTTATTGCAAACATAACACAAATAATACACAAAATAAAAAATAATACACATAATAATATTTTTTATTTTGTGTAGACATAGAAAGTTGGCAACAGGAGCTGCCTCAGCAGTTTCTGATATAAGTATAACCTCAATGAGCTATACAGCGCTGGTTTTCAGCCACGAATCTCCATATTGTTGCAGGTGGTACCGCGAGACAGGTGGCGGGGTACTCCGCGAGGTCAGAGACAATGAGGGTGCTGGTAGGTATACCCGCACCCACGATGCCCTCGCCATCAGAAGGGCAGAGATCGCGGACGGCGGACGGTGGGCGTGCCGCGCAGCCAATCCGCACGGTCATCTCACGCTACGACTGCATTTGGCTGTACACGCGCATTTGACTGTCCACGCTCAACCACATACCCAGGTCTGACTCTATATTTATTTGTGTTTATAAAAAATCTTTTTTTTTTATTTGTCTCCATATTTAAAAGTATACTAAGTTACTCCTTACAACATTAGCTATCTGCGACTGAAAGTCGCGTCAAAATTAATCTAGCCGTTGTTACGGCTGCATTTGGTTGTACATGTGCATTTAACTGTCCATGCTCTCTCGCTCACACGCTTTTATATTTATTGTATAAAAGTTTATATTAAAAAAAAATGTTATTAACCCACGTCTGCGTCCACATCATCATCATCATCGGCTTCTTCCTTAACCCAGTTATTCATGCTCGGCGTAATATGGTTTTTCTTCCATTCATCCCTCTTCGCAGTTGCGTTCTTTACTCCCTTTCTATCATATCATCTTTCACACAGTCCATCCACATGTTGTTTTTTATTGTAGAGAAGCAAGAAGAAACAGACAGACAGTATTTTTTTCTAAATCATGACGTTAAATAAATGCCGTATATACTTTCACATGCATTATAGACTCTTCAATTTATTTATTCAGGAGGAATCAGGAGGAAATCAGTTATAGTGATTAGAGCAGACCAGTCCGTACAAGCTGCCATTTTTAATAAAAAGGATATAATAAATTCAATATCAACGACGTCGCTAATAGAAACTGCTATTTCTATATTTAGAAAGATATCCATTTTTTATCCATTTATAGACAACAAATACGATGACATTTTGAGAAATTTAATGTAGCTTCTATATAAAAAGATCAAGCAGAGGTACGACGTTCTGCTGAAAATTTTAAGTACCATTACTAGGGTTACCACGTGTCACAACTCGATTGGGATGTCCAGATTTCATATACTATGTCGTGTCCCGACGAATGTGTGTCGGGACAATTGTCCCAAAGTCTAAACATAGGGTCACGACTGTTATTGATTAGTCGGAGTGTATTTTTAATGGATGATTATTAAATAGCACCCTACTGCGCTATCGGTGGCGGATCACCAGTAGGTGATGGATTATCATCCTGATGTTATGTCAGTTGGGTTATCATGGCAAAATCATTAGGAATTAACTCAGGTCGTCATCAGTCCTAATGACTAACAAATTTGCTTTCCGCCATACCATGTTATATTAAATGTTTTGTTCCGTCCAATAGGACGGAACAACGCTATACGTCGAGCGTCGCTATATCATGCGTTGCCGTGCTATTGCACGGCAACGCATGATATAGCGACGTATAACCAAGCTGACAATCGGTCTAACAAATCACATTCAAAATATCTTTATTTATGTAGATCTGTTACAGATTTATGTCAAATCTACCGTCAGTTCGGAATGATTTCGAGATGAGAAGAACTGACAATAAACTCAGCTCGTATTCTTTTCAAATAAATGTTGTACATGTTCACAATAATAGATTCAAATTTGGGAGAAATGTACTTCTCTGATCGATACCCCATCTAATTCAAACGGAAATCGAATTTACAACCTGAGTCGAGGTTCGAATCCCTAGTGGTGCCCTCAGACTAAAGTCGTATCTATCAGGCAGAAGTTGGCCTTCAGCCGCTCCATAAGCCCTTCCTTGATTTTGGAGTTCCATAACAATATGATAACGTATCGTCTCGAGCAAATAAACTTTGCGTCTCTCTCTCCACTTTATGCATATTATAAGTAGATAATTCCAATATTTTACATCTGCCACATGTCCCACGATGTCTCTCTATTTATGTTATTAAATCCCGGAAAACGTATCATAATAGTTGGCTAGCCTAGTCATCCTTTCTTCCTAAAATAAACAGACAATGTTTATTCCTCTTTGTACTTAAAATGCTCTCAGGTAACTTTGCACCCGAACACAATGGATCCACTGAAACTATATTACGATACTAATGTAAATAAACAGATTTATTCAGCATACACTATTTATTTCATGCGAGTCTTTATACGATTACGTAGGTCGGCAGGAAATATAATAATAATAAAAAAAATTCGTTCATAAGCGGCTAAAATGTCTTACATGAATAAATGATTTTGGATTTTGATTTTGATGTTCAATTTGCAACTTACTATTTTTTTTATTGGGTTGTTACAGGTGTTAAAGGCACCTGACAATAGCCCATCTTGTCAGGTGCCTGTAACATAGAAATAGAAAATATCTTTATTGAAATAAACTCTTACAAGCACTTTTGAATAGTCATATTTTGATTCTACCACTCATTCGGAATGCAGATTCATCACAAGAAGAATGAGCAAGAAACTTGTGTGTTGCTCTTTTGAATAGATGTTTTTTTTATATAATTACAGTATAACAAGTAAGAGGCATGCGATAATCAACATAGAAATCGCTACGCACTCATTATTAGTGTAATCAGATAATATTGTCAGTGCTATGGATTTTAGATTTTTCTATAAAAACATTATTGTCGTTAACGAATTAGGGCACCTATATACTATATACCATACAGACAATAGACCATATTGTCAGGTGCCTGTAACATCTGGAGCACTGCCTACATAGATCTATTGTGCTCGCCCTTTTTCAGAGTTCGCTACCTAGACCCGTCAGGGACAAGAATTGAAGGATATTCTTAGGAGCGATGGTTTTTATCTCCTCGAGAAAGTATAAACTTTCCAAAGGAGATATTTAGTTTATGCATGAGTGGGTTACAACCACATAGGATGTGTAGCGGCGTTTCCTCTTCAGATTGGCAAAATCTGCAGATGCTACATACTAGCTTTAGCTGGCGACTTCATTTCGTCCATGTGAGTACCAGTACCTGTGTAAGAGGTAGCCAATATCCTTCCACAATATCATTGTACCACAAATGCTAAGATCTCGAAAAGTGCGGCTCCACAACAACTTCCTAGAATTTACTTAGATTGTATAATAAACTATCTGCCGAGGTTTTCTCTAGAGACTACAGCATAGGGTTTTTAAGAAGGATATATTAAGTTTTTTAAGGGTTGGCAACGCACACGTGACCCTCCTGGTATTTGAGGTGTTCATAGACTACGGTAACCATTTACGTGAAGATGGGCCGTATTGGTTGTTGCTATCGTAGTAGTATAAAAAAATGTAATGATTGGTATAAAAATTTGGACATTTCAATAATTATTAAGAATCTTTTTTATTACTATGTTTTACGGTTCTGGATACAAGTCAACAAGTACACTAATTCGAAGTTTTTATTAACAAACTAGCTATTCCCGCGACTTCGTTCGCGTGGAATTTAACTTTTTTTGTAAATAAAAGATTTGTTCTACAATAAGAGTAGCCTAAGTTACTCCTTATTACACAGCTACCTGCCAAAAAAACTCACGTCCAATTCGGTTCAACCATTTCAGAGATTAGCTGGAACAAACAGACGCTCCAATGTTATTTATATGTATAGATTATTGCGCTAGTGTTACCCACTCACTATTAGGTATGTCACGCTATGTTAGGTTGACTGATAAAGATTTTTTTTAGAGATAAGTCCACATTTGCTCACTTTGTCTATAAGTTTGCTACTGTATTTCAAAGTGCAATAAAATTTATGGCTACATATAAGCTAAAGAAATGCTAGAAAAATACTCCCCAAAGAGGTAGATAGTAAGTAACTACCCGTCGCGTACAAGCAGCAACAAAACGCAACGAAATGGGAGCGTTCTGATTGGAGCGCACACCCATCCTATTTAAATACGCAACATAACGTACAGACTTTAAAAATCTATTCGATCGATCTAACGTAATTTTGTTCACTCCACCAAAATTGTAATATGCTGATGCCATCAACACCTACCATCTGTCATTCGAGCCGCAACATCACCTACCATCTGAGCAAAATTTTTTACTTGGCCCCAATGCAAGTTGAGGTAGCTGTTCAGCGCATCGCTTTAACTTAGGTGGTCGTAGATTCAATTCCTCGCTCGATGCGAACATTTTTATTCTTGTTTTCTGTATATTATGTATGTTTTTATTAAATCTACGTGTATATGTGAATTGGTTAATGCCCGTTTTTTATGTAGTGTGAAAAAATCTTCAAGATATAATATAAATGTTGTATCCGTCGCCCTGGTAAGAGGTACATTAATGCATCATTACATAGTATAAAAACAAAGTCGCTATCACTGTCTGTCCCTATGTATGCTTAAATCTATAAAACTACGCAACGGATTTTGAAGCGGTTTTTTTAATAGATAGAGTGTTTCAAGAGGAAGGTTTATGTATATAATACATTACATGTACATTACTCGGGTGTACACACCCGTGCGAAGCCGGGGCGAGTAGCTAGTCCAATTTATATGTATAATACATGTACACCCGTGCGACGCCGGGGCGAGTAGCCAAGTATAACATTAACTTGGATGTTACGGCGCTCAGCAGCGGTTAAATATATGTTACATAGTATATATATAACTTACTTACCGAATTCTAATGTGCTTCACTAAAATACATTGTAAGCGATTTTTCAGAGGCTGAGACGAGTTTGCAAAGTTTTACAATGTTATTGTAATAACTTAAGACGTTAGCAACATAATGTTTGTATGTCATATAGAAGAATTATGTTATTTCTATATCTAATACTGGCTACTCGCCCCGACTTCATATATACATGTATTATATATATAAAAAACGTAGTCAAGAAAACATATTTATTGTATAAAGCCACTGCGTATCATTTAACCAAATAGAACTAATTGAGAAGACTAAAATATTAAATATAGATTACTCGCTAATTTATAGTTATTTTTAAGTATAAGTAAAGTTCCGAAACTCAAAAATATGTACTAAACGAAACTATGATGTATAACATAATTTATGATACAGGACACTATGGATATCACGTTATCACAGCCACTCTTGACACCACTCATACGTTCTTAATCTAGAGTACTAAGATGACATGCCTCTTATCCTATAATTTCATTTACAAAGCAAACAGCTGACAGCTGCGTATGAAATTTATACAAATAAATAAAATTGTTGTTTTTATTGAATTACAGTATTTATATATAAAAAACTGTCTGTCTGATTGC